ACTATTGCACACACTGCGAAGAATTAGGTCATGACCCACATAGATGAGTTCCTGCTATCCACGTGGGAGACCTGGACTGAGTTTCTAGCACCTGACTTCAGCCTGCGCTCAGCCCTAGCCATTACAGGCATTTGAAAAGTGAATGAGCATCTAGAAGCATGTGCTCTCTCTTAAATAAATAATTTTTAATCTTAAAAAATACTATTTACCGTGATCAAATGTGATTCATCCCAGAATGAATGAAAGATTCAACATACATAATTAAATAAACATGAAACACATCAACAAAATGAAGCACAAAAATCACATGTGTATCACAATATATATAGAAAACATATTGGATAAAATCTGATGTCCCTTTACGGAAAAAAGAAAAAACCCTGACCAAATTAGGCATAGTGGAATTTACCACACAGGGCCCATAAATAGCAAGGCAAAAACTAACATCATACTGAATAGGAAAAATCTAAGATCCAGAACAAGAAAAGAATGCCCATCTTCAACCCTTTATTTAATGGAGTACCAGAAATCCTAGTCAGAGAAATTAGGCAACAGAAAGGCATATACGACTCCTAAACTGGACAGAAGGAAGTCGAATTATTACTGTTAACAGATAGAAAACTCCAAAAACTTAGTCAGAAAATGATGAAAAGTAATTTATGGGTTCAGAGAAGTGACAGGATACAAAGTCAACATGCAAAAATCAGTGGTATTGTGATACAGCAGGAGCAAATTCTCTGAAAAAATAAATCAAGAAAACAATCTCATTTTCCAATAGCTACAAAAAAAAAGCACCAGGAATAAATTTAACCAAAGAGGGAAAAGAACACTAAATGGAAACTGCAGCACCGAAGAGAACACGAGGAAAAGGAAAGACATCCATGTTCACGGATTGGAAGAATCAGTATCACTAAAATGTCCCGCTACCTGAAGTGATTTACAGATTCAATGCAATTCCAATCAATTTCCAATGGCCTTTTTCACAGAAATAAAAGGATCAGTATTAAAAATTATGCGGAACCACAAAAATCCTGAATAGCCAAAGCATTCTTGCACAAAAAGAACAAAGAAGGAGGTAGTAAACTGCTTGACTTTAAATTAGAAAACTGCAGTAAATAAAACAGCATGATTTGGCATTTTAAAAACAGATTTATGGGCCACTGGAATCGAATAGCAAGCCTAGAAGAAAATGCACACATAACTTCTTGAATAAGTATTTAATAACTTTTGACAAATAACTTTTGACAAAGATGACAAGAACATGCATGGATCACTTGGTTAATCCTCTGCCTGCAGCACCAGCTGGGTTCTAGTCCTGATTGCTCCTCTTCCAGTTCAGCTCTCTGCTGTGGCCTGGGAAGGCAGTAGAGGATGGCCCAGGTCCTTGGGTCCTGCACCCACATGGGAGACCAGGAGGAAGCACCCGGCTCCTGGCTTCAGATTGGTGTAGCTCTGGCTGTAGCAGCCATTTGTGCGGTGAACCAACGGAAGGAAGACCTTTTTCTGTGTGTGTCTCTCTCTCACAGTCTAACTCTGTCAGAAAGAAAGAAAGAAAGAAAGAAAGAAAGAAAGAAAGAAAGAAAGAAAGAAAGAAAGAAAGAAAGAAAGAAAGAAAGAAAGAAAGAAAGAAAGAAAGAAAGAAAGAAAGAAAGAAAGAAAGAAAAAGAAAGAGAAAGAAAGAAAGAAAGAAAGAAAGAAAGAAAGAAAGAAAGAAAGAAAGAAAGAAAGAAAGAAAGAAAGAAAAAAGAAAGAGTAAGGAAAGAACATTCTTGGGGCTGGCACCGTGGCTTAGCCGGTAAAGCCACCACCCACAGTGTTGGCATCCCATATGGATGCTGGTTTGAGTCCCAGCTGCTCTCCTTCTCATCCGGCTCTCTGCTATGGCCTGGGGAAGCAGTACGAGATGGCCCAAGGCCTTGGGCCCCTGCACCAGTGTGTGAGACCCGACCTGAAACCTTGAAGCTACTGGAAGAAAGCATAAGAGAGACACTTTAGGGCATTTCAAATATCCAGGGATTTATTTTTCTTGATCAAATCCCAAAAGCCCAAAATCAAAAGCTGAAATATACAAATGAGATTTCATCAAACTAAAGAGCTTCTGCCTGTAAAGCAAATAATTAACAGAGTGAACCCCTATAGAATAGGAGATACTATTTTCAAGTTATACATTTGACAAGAATATAAAGGGATTGAAGCCAATGGTGAAAGAACCCTGAATAACCCAATTTGAAAATGAGGACTATATGTAAAGTTATTTTTAAAAGACATAAAGATGATCAAAAATATATGAAAAGAATGTTCAACATAACTAATCATTAGAGAAACACAAATTGAAGCCACAATGAAATATCAACTCATTCCAGTTAGAATAGCTATTGTCAAAAAGACAAAAGATGAAAGTGCTGACAAAAATATGGAGAAAAGGAATCCCTGTCCACTGTTGGTGAGTATATAAAGCACAGACATTGTGGAAAACAGTATAGAGGATCCTCAAGAATCTAAAAATAGAATTACCATATAACACAGCAATCTCACTATTGGGTGTATATCCAAGGGAATAAAATCAGTCTGTCAAAGAGACATCTGCACTCTCATGTCTGTTACAGTTCTGTTTACAATAGTCAAGAAATAGGAACAACCAAAGTACCCATCCACTGGTTACTGGATAAAGGAAATATGTTACATATACACAATGGAATACTGCTCAGCCTTGAGTAGTATTTGTGGGATATTGTCATTTGCAAGAACAAAGATGGAATTGGAGGTAATTAGATTAAATGAAATACACAAAACACAGAAAGACAAATAGTACATGAGCTCACCTATATGTCATCTCAAAAATTCATATCATGGAATTTGAGAGGAGAATAGTGGTTTCCAGAAGTTGAGGAGAGCAGAGGGGAGTGATTGATGGGGAAAATGTTGATAAATGGCTGTTAAGTTACAGTTAGATAGGAGTAATAATTCTGATGATCTATTGTACAATACGGGGATTATAGATAACAATTATATACTGTATGTTTCTTTGGATATAACACTCTGTATACATACGTAGAAATATTACATGGTACTCCATAAATGCAGACAATTTTTATTTATCAGTTAAAATTTTTCAAATTATTTTAGGAGTTAATAAATATAATTATCTTAAAATATTTTAAATATAAATGTTTCCTGGAAAATATGTCCCCAAATGTCATGGATTTTAGCTGTGTTGGACATTAAACAGCCCACTGAATACAGCAAAGTTACCATAAATAGTCCACAAATATCTAACAAAAAAGAATTGAGGGTATTGGAAATTTTGCTGTTTCAAAGGGAACCCCAGCCCAAGCAAGGTTTTACAGCAGAGTAACAGGGAAGAAAACACAGCAAAACATCTCATGTGTTTCTATGTGATAACTGCCCTCTCCTTGTGCCATCCTTACTCTTTACTCCCTCATAAGTACTCTGTTCACCCCAGTGATTTTACAGGAAAAATTCTCCCTGCTGCTTCTTTTTTTTTTTTTTTTGACTGGCAGAGTGGACTATGAGAGAGAGAGACATGACAGGCAGAGTGGACTGTGAGAGAGAGAGACAAAGAGAAAGGTCTTCCTTTTCCGTTGGTTCACCCTCCAATGGCTGCCATGGCGGGTGCATTGCTGCCAGCACAGCGCACTGATCCGAAGGCAGGGGCCAGGTGCTTCTCCTGGTCTCCCATGGGGTGCAGGGCCCAAGCACTTGGGCCATCCTCCACTGCACTCCTGGGCCACAGCAGAGAGCTGTGCCTGGAAGAAGGGGCAACCGGGACAGAATCCGGTGCCCCGACCAGGACTAGAACCGGGTGTGCCGGCGCTGCAATGCGGAGGATTAGCCTGTTGAACCATGGCGCCAGCCCTCCCTGCTTCCTGTACCTACACATAAACTAACTGAGCTGCTCACATTCAAGATATAAGCCATAGGAACTTTGTCCCTTTGCCATTTATTTCTTCCTCTGGAGGGATTTGGTTTTTTGCTCTACATCCAGAGCAATGATTCATAAAAACTGTTCAAAGTTTGGAAGCAGTGGACTTCAGGACAGAAAGATTGGTCACAGGGGAGAGAGATCACAAACCACTCAGGTAGAAGCAATAAAGAGTGGAAATTACTACACACACAAAAAAAATCTGGAAGATTATCATTAGGATATAGCAATGGAAAAACAAAAAAATGTAATAGAATGCATTTACTTCTGAATATAGACCTAATATAGACTCTGACCATGATCAATATATGTGACTTCCCAGCCCAAGTTAGGTACAGCTCAAGTTAGGTACTTTGTGAAAATGGATGAATCTGACTCCAACTGGCTCAGAAAGTTGTCAAAGGTACTGTTGAATTTATAAAACAAGCATTCACTTTGTATACCAGTGTTTAAAGATACTGGGCCAAACAAAACATCCTCCATGGCTCTATCCCTGTCCCTGCCATCTACTAATCTGTTACCTAACAAGTGCAATAAATTAACTTCAAGATATATAATAAATATACAATAAATGTATTTTAAAATAAAATAATTGAATATATAACAAAGTGCTCTTGAGAGATGAGTGATGCATGGCAGAATTCTAATGGTAAAAAAGGACTTGGAAAAAATAATCAGTAGATGACGTCAGGAAAAATATGCAACAAAAAGTAAGCAGTGAAAAGTGAGCAAGGAAAAGAGGAGAGAGGACAATCAGAGGGGATGGAGGCATTGATGAAAAACACAGATTTCCTTGAAGTGAATGGAATGGGAGAGGGAGCAGGAGATGGGAGGGTTGTGGATGGGAGGGAAGTTATGGTGGGAAAAAGCCACTGTAATCCAAAAGCTGTACTTTGGAAATTTATATCTATTAAATAAGGTTTAAAAAAAGGAAAAACACAGATTCCTACAATCAGTGAGAAAACTCATACTTTATGGAATTTTCACAACAATCTTTGGTAAAACAGGGTTGTGGTGAAGGACAACTTTGATTAATAGACTTAATTATTCTTTTCAGTTTCAAAGAGATGTTCAAATGTGGCAAAACCAGAACAGCCAAAGAAAAAGCTTGTGCTAATGTGATTAAGGAAGAATACCAAAAGCTTGGACCAATGAGGTAAGAAATACACGTCCTTGCAAGTGCATGCACGCATACACACACACACACACACACACACAGATACGTGCAGCTTATACCACAAGTAGTTTCTAAAAGAAAGAAAAAGAAAAGAGAGGGGGGGCAATTATCTACAAGGTATTTACAACATTTGTTCAGGGCCCCCAATTCACCAAGATTTTGAATATAACAAAACATGGCAAAATACATACCAATGGCCCACTAAAATTTGCCAAGCAGAAGGAGAAGCAGCTGAGAGTTCCCACAAAGCAGAAAGGGTCTTTGCCACGGGTACTGATGCTCTCCAATTATTGGCATACCTAGTTCTCATCAGGGTTGAGAGCTTTGCTAAGGTTGCTCCTGACAACAGCTCGTGTGGTTTCTACAAATGTCCTGAGAAAATGTGAATTGATAGCATTGGAATTTCTCTACAGGTATCAAGAAATTGTGACCTTGGTGCTCTTCATTATAATGGCCCTGCTGTGGTTTACCCGGGAGCCCGGGTTTATTTCTGGTTGGTCTGTGCTTTTTTCACAGTAAGTGTTATATGTTATGTCTACTGTTCCTTCCTGTTTTCCACTCTGCTTCCCTCTTAGGTGCTGCCTATGAATCTGAAAAAATGAATGATATTTTTTTCTTCCCTTCCCATGAATATATTTTTAAATTATTTACTTGTTTGAGAGAGAAAGGAGAGAGGTAGAGAGTGAGAGAGAGAAAGAGCGAGAGAGAGAGAGAGAGAGAGAGAGAGAGAGAGAAAAGGGCAATGTCTCCCATTAGCTTGTTCAGACCCAAATGCCTTCAGCAGCCAGGCAGCCAAGAACACCATCCAGGTATTTCATGTGAGTGGCAGGAACCCAATTGCTTGCCACCATCTGCTGCCTCCCAGGCTCTGCCTTAGCAGGAAGCTGGAACTCAGAGTCGAGTCGAGAACTGACTCTGATAAGGTTCATGAAAATCTTAACTGTTAGGTTTAACACCATGCCCTGAAAAGATAATTTTAATTTTCAAAAAAAAGGAAGGCATTGTAGGGAATTAAATTTATGATGAGACAACAAAAAGAATAATAATGCAGCTAAAACCCAGGACCCATTACACAAAGCGAGTCCCATCCGTTCAAAAGCAGAAAGGTAATGTGCAGACAGCTCGTGCTCTATGCAGTTAGAAGTAGAGTTGTGGGAGCTGCACTGCTTGGGATCCAGTTCCGGCTCTTTCGCTTGGATAAGTCACCTAGCTCTCTGTTTCTTAACCTGTAAAATGAAGACAACAGCAGTATTTAGAACAGTGCGGTGCTTCCCCTACAGGAAGTGCTACTAAATGTTTATCATGTGAAATAGAAGAAGCTATTCATTGCCTCCTAATAATCTGATTTGAATTCATTTTCTATCTTTTTACCATCATATTTTACCTCTATGGAGAACTATTTATTTGATTCAATATTATGAATTTTTCTACATTTATGTGCATTTTTACACCAGTTCCCTACAAATGCAGGTCAGCCTCGATTTTGTAGATAAAGAATTCCTGGATAAGTAACAAGATGGATTTTAAGAGCTAATGCTGGGCTGGTGCTGTGGCACAGCAGGTTGAAACTCTGGCCTGCAGTGTCTGCATCCCATATGGGCACAGGTTTGAGACCCGGCTGCTCCACTTCCAATCTAGCTCTCTGCTATGGCCCGAGAAAGCAGTAGAAGATGGCCCAAGTCCTTGGACTCCTGCGCCCACATGGGAGACCTAGAGGAAGCTCCTGGCTCCTGGCACAGCTCTGGCTGCTATGGTCATTTGGGGAGTGATCCAGCAGATGGAAGATCTCTCTCTCTCTCTCTGACTCTACCTCTTTCTGTAACTGTCCTTCAAATAAATAAAATAAATCTTTAAAAAAAAAAGAAGAGCTAATGCTAGAAGCCAAGTCAGAGTTTAATTCTCTCTCTCTTGTCATACATGCAAGTAGGTTGTTGCTGAGTCATCTGAAGAAAGAGGGAAGATTACAGCATCCATTTCCAAATAAAGACCATCCTATGTGTCCATAGAAATAATCTGGTATTGAGATATGTGTTCCCAATCTATCTTTCACTGTAATTCTTAAATTCATTAGGTATCTGATTGGGCTTCCTGTCACATAATATTCAGCAAGAATCCATGTATTTTGGGATCATAAAACAAAATTTTGGGATTAAATGCTTTCTGCCCAAGGCTGGCTTTGTGGAACAGTGGGTTAAGCCACTGCCTGCAATGCTGACAACCCATATGAGCACTGATTCAAGTCCCAACTGCCCCAGGTTTTTTTTTTTATATTTTTTTATTTATTTGAAAGTCAGAGTTATAGAGAGGCAGAAGCAGAGAAGAGAGAGGTCTTCCATCCACTAGTTCACTTTACAGATGACCGCATCGGCCGGAGCTACACTAATCTGAAGCCAGGAGTCAGGATCCTCCTCTGGGTCTCCCACGTGAGTGCAGGGGCCCAAGGACTTGGGCCGTCTTCCACTGCCTTCCCTGGCCACAGCAGGGATCCAGATTAGAAGTGGAGTAGCTAGGACTCGAATCAGTACCCATATGGAATGCTGGCATCACAGGTGTCAGCTTAACCCTCTAAGCCACAACGCCGGCCCCTGCTCCAGTTTTGATGCAGCTCCCTTCTGATATGCTTGGGAAAGCAATACGAGATGGTAGAAGTGCTTGGGCTCATGTCACCCAAGTGGGAGATTCAAATGGAGTTCCAGGCTCCTGGTTTCAGCCTGGCACAGACCTGGCCATTTTAAAGTTGATCAGCAGATGGAAGATATCTCCCACTCACCCTGTCTCTCCCCTTCTCTATGCCAGTTTGCCTTTCAAGAAATAAATAAATAAATAGTTTTTAAAATGTATTCTTCCCGGCCGGCGCCGTGGCTCAATAGGCTAATCCTCCACCCTGTGGCGCCGGCACACCGGGTTCTAGTCCCGGTCGGGGTGCCGGATTCTGTCCCGGTTGCCCCTCTTCTAGGCCAGCTCTCTGCTGTGGCCCGGGAATGCAGTGGAGGATGGCCCAAGTGCTTGGGCCCTGCACCCCATGGGAGACCAGGGTAAGTATCTGGCTCCTGCCATCGGATCAGCGTGCGCCGGCCGCGGCGGCCATTGGAGGGTGAACCAACGGCAAAAGGAAGACCTTTCTCTCTGTCTCTCTCTCTCACTGTCCACTCTACCTTTCAAAAAAAAAAAATGTATTCTTCCCACATAGAAGTAAAGAAATTTCTTCCTCCCTTTGATGGAAACTTCACTTGTTGTAGATATTGCCAACATGCATTATAAGCAGGTGCAAAATATGAATCTAAATTTTTAGTGACCACACAAGTTAAGTAATGCCATGTGGCAGCATGTTTTAAAAGATCAGCTTTTTCAAAATGCATATTTATTTATTTGAAAGGCACAATGAGAGAGAGAGAGAGAGAGAGAGATCTCTGTCTGCTGGCTCACTTCCCAAATTCTCACAATAATCAGGTTGGGTCAGACTGAAGCCAGGAAACAAGAACTCCATTTTGATCTTTCATGTGCATGGCACATACTTAATAATTCAGCCATCATTTGCTTGAACACATTAACAGGAAGCTGGGTTGGAAGCAGAGGTGGGGCTCCATCCCATGCACTACAGTGTGAGATGCAGGGCAGAAACTTAACCTGATGCAGCACAATACCCACCTCAAAAGATCAGCTTGGTCTCCTGGCTTAGATACCATGTGGGACATGCGCATCCCATGTAAGAATGCCTGAGTTCAAGACTTTGTTCTGGCTCCTGATTCCAGCTTCTTTCTGTGCACTCTAGGAGGCAGGCAGTGATGGCTCAACTGTTTGGGTCCCTGCCATCCACATAGGAGACCCAGAATAACTTCCGGCTCCCAGCTTTGTCCTGGCCATTGCAGGCATTTGGGGACTGAGCCAGTGGATAGGAGATACCTTTTTGTTGTCTCTCAAATGAAATAAATGGATAAACAAAGAAACAGTCTGCTTTAGCATTATAAACTTTTTGTTTCCCTTAGAAGTATAAGTTTTCATTTTGAGAGGTCTAATCAAAAGGCATCACCCAATTAGTCAAAGTAAGTTACAGTTTAATAGTTGATTAGTGTTCTGTGGTTTTGAAATAGAATCCAAACCAACATAAAATAATTATACTCCATTTTCAAAATCCATCTCCTATCATCCTAAGTAGGGAAAATCTTTATCTAAACACCAGTATGTAAGAATTAAATGAAATCAGACAATAGCTAATAAAAACCAGGCAGAAATCCCAATAGAAAATTCAATTTAATCAGCTTCTAATTTCTGTTCCTTATTGGAGGAAAATGTAATTCAGAACATGTTTTGTTTGTAGCAGGAAAACAGTGTATTTGCTTTGGGCAGGCGTTCATGTTACCTAGAATTCTAAGAAAGAGCAACAGTAAAAGAAACAAAGACTTGAGAAAAGATAGATTATGGAAATAAAATTTAATCAGCAAACCCAAAGCAAATAAAAATTGCATAACTATTATTTTGTAATCCTGATACAACTTAGCAATTCATAATACACTAAAATAAAAGTCATAAAATAAAAATTTAAAAGTATTTTGAAAGCTAAATTATTTTAGTATTTATGCCTTTCTTGATATATAGATGTTTTAGACATCAAAAATTTCTGAAGTTAGCATGATATATCAAGATTTGTAGCTGCCACCTAATGTTTTCATTCCATCTGTTTGAAATTGGAATGAATTCAATGTGTCTTTTCACATAAAACAAAGTCCAGTTACATGGTGCCCAAATTGGCAAAAATTCAACCAAGAATTACAACTGAAATAAATAAAAGAAATAACAATAAAATTATAAACATTGGACAAGTTTATTTAATAAATTATGCTGAGGTAGATTTTTAATCAAAAATAAAAAACCATTTGAGAAAAGCAGTCTGCTTTAAACATGTTCAACAGAGAAAGATAATGTATTTACTTGATTATTTAATTTTTATGTAAAATACAGGAATATAGAATCTTCTATAGTACTTATTCATTACTGAGTTATGAAATAGCCAAATAATCTTAGAGAGTATAGTTTTTCTTTTCAGGCTACACTAATATCCTCATTAATATTGCTCACTTTAAAGCAGGATCCTGATTATTGATGCCTGCTTCATTGGTGTCTGGTCTCCAGGTGCTTCTTAACTGTTTGGGCTTCTGGGAATCTGTCTCATTTGCTTGAATGGCCTAGTGATTCTAAGACCCCATCTGTTCCTGAATCACTCTCAATTTGTACAGTTATCATTTATGAGAATCACATAGACCATCCCAATCATTAATATTCTTGATTGAGTTTCATAAGGGGCAAAGTATTAAATGGGTTGATTTCATTTGTATGACATGGCTAGGGTCTACAACTGCAGAAGCAGGTGTTGCATCTTAGGAAACAGATCAATTCCTTTTCACAATTTACAGGAGGGTTTTAGGGGACTCTGGAAACATCATGCCTTGCCTCAATTCAATAGATGTTACAAATCAATTGTATAGGGTTTTGCTTAGTCTAATAATTGTTATAACCTCGATTTTCTAAGAATAATATTAAAAGGAATAATTAAAAGAAAAAATTGTTTAGCAATTCTGTAAGTTTACCTAAGAGGGAGATTTGCCACAGTGGTCCAATAGGTTGGCATGTGTATATGTTCTAATTAAAATAAGCAGAAATATATAGAAACAATGGGCATGTGATCTGAGATTATTAGTTATAAGGAGTTATGTCATTTAGTTAGAAATCTATAGGTTTTAGAGTAGATTATACAGAATCTATAACCTATACCACCACTACTATTTATGTGCTATAGCATAGTCAAAAGATGTTCTTCTTGTAAGTTCTTAATGAAATTTTCCTAATATACACGTTTGTCCTTTTTCAGGTACCCTGGTTATGCTACAGATTCAACTGTTGCCTTACTTGTAGGACTCCTATTCTTTCTTATCCCAGCTAAGATATTGACTAAAACTACACCTACAGGAAAAATTGGTTAAGTATCATTTATATTTCTGAATAAATCTGAAAAAAAAAAACAGGAAACAAAAAGAAACACCCATATATAAATTCTCATTAGTTTCAGTTTGCATTTAGAACAGAACAAAGGTCATGCCAACATAATCCATGACTTAGCAAGTCCTATTTTCACAATACAGTGGCCTATTCAGCTAGCACATGTCTCCACCCACAGGAAAGATCATCCTACTTTGCAGAACTCAGTGGATTTTCTTATGCACCATAGTCAGGGCACCGCTGAGTGTTATTATATGATCTATGGAAACACTTCTCCTGCCATAAGCAGAATTAATTTTACCATTGGCAAACATAGAAACAAGAACTTGGAGGGCAATGCTTTAAGATGAGCCCTTGGTAATAAATCCTGAGGATCTAAAAAGGCGAAGAATTTCAAGACAAAAAAGGATTTACAGCCTGATGGTGTTCCAAGCAAACGTAAATCAACCCTGTATCGTAATGTAGAGTCACTATTTAAAAAAGTACTCAGTGGGAGCATTCGCTTCACTTACAAGATATGAGGAAGGAAGCATGCATTTGTGCTTGAGGAAATCCAGCCTCCCCCCACCCATACAGAATCCTTTCCATGCAGCATGTTTTGAGTGGTCACATGTCTCTGTTGTCAATATGGGGCAAATGGTTTATAATTGTTGGGAAGTGGACTAATAGAGTTGTGTGTGTGTGTGTGTGTGTGTGTATTTCTGTTTACTGGGGTAAAACTTGCATTCATGCATTCATCTCGGCCCCTCTGACTTCTTGAGTCAAATTCATGAATGAGCAGTGTATCATAAAATGATTTCTGATCCTCGTGTGAAATAAGAGCTCGCAGTGTGTGTTAAGAAGATGTTGCATCTAGGAAGCATTGATTTTTTTTTTTTAATTTTTTTATTTTTTGACAGGCAGAGTGAACAGTGAGAGAAAGAGAGAGAGAAAGGTCTTCCTTTTGCTGTTGGTTCACCCTCCAATGGCTGCCATGGCTGGCGCACTGCTGCCGGCGCACCATGCTGATCTGAAGCCAGGAGCCAGGTGCTTCTGGTCTCCCATGTGGGTTCAGGGCCCAAGCACTTGGGTCATCCTCCACTGCACTCCCGGGCCAGAGCAGAGGGCTGGCCTGGAAGAGGGGCAACCGGGACAGAGTCCGGCACCCTGACCGGGACTAGAACCCGGTGTGCCGGCGCTGCAGGCAGAGGATTAGCCTATTGAGCCGAGGCGCGGGCCGGAAGCATTGATTTCTATTAGACTGAAGGCTCTGACCATTGCAATCAAAGCCCTCAGGCCTGGCGGTAGGAAGAATTGGGGGAAACAATGCTTAGCTAAACGTCCCTGATTCCCATGTGATTCCCTCAGAAAGAGCTTGAGTCTCTTTATGTTTCTCTTTCATCATTTTTTTTAAAGATCTATTTATATACTTGAAAGTCAGAGTTACACAAAGAGAGAAAGAGAGGCAGAGAGAGAAAGAGAGAGAGGTCTTCATCCACTGGTTCGCTCCCCAGTTGGCCACAACGGCTGGAGCTGAGCCAATCCAAAGCCAGGAGCCAGGAGCCTCTTCCAGGTCTCCCACGTGGGTGCAGGGGCCCAAGGACTTGGGCCATCTTCTACTGATTTCCCAGGCCACAGCAGAGAGCTAGATCAGAAGTAGAGCAGCCAGGACTCAAACTGGCGCACATAAGGGATGCTGGCACTGCAGGGGGCAGCTTTACCCGCTATGCCACAGCACCGGCCTCTCATCAGTTTTCGACACATGTTCTCTCTGATAACCTCAGTCATATTACATTAAAAATCAGATAAAACATGCTTAAGAGAGGTAATAGAAGAGGGAGGAGGAAGAAGGGTTGGAGCACAGGTTGGGGGTAGGGTGAGAAGTAGCACTATGTTCCTAAAACTGTGTATATGAAACACATGAAACTTGTATAACCTAAATAAAATTCAAGAATAAAAAACATAATATGCTAAATTTTAGATGAGAGGTGCTTTACAGAGATGTTTTAACAAGATATATAGCCTTCACGCAAGGAAGGAAACTGGTATCAAAATTTCAGTAATCAGAGAAAAAGTAGGTTTGGTTTGGGTTTAGGTGTTGGAAATAGGAAGCAGGATTATTAGGAATCCTAAAATCTCACCATATAGAAGTTTGTCTATTACATACAAGTGCTAAGTAGACATAATGTGATTTTTTTTTTTTTTGACAGGCAGAGTGGACAGTGAGAGAGACAGAGAGAAAGGTCTTCCTTTGCCGTTGGTTCACCCTCCAATGGCTGCCGCGGCCAGCGCACTGTGGCCGGCGCACCGCGCTGATCCGATGGCAGGAGCCAGATACTTACCCTGGTCTCCCATGGGGTGCAGGGCCCAAGCACTTGGGCCATCCTCCACTGCACTCCCTGGCCACAGCAGAGAGCTGGCCTGGAAGAGGGGCAACTGGGACAGAATCCGGCGCCCTGACCGGGACTAGAACCCGGTGTGCCAGCGCCGCAAGGCGGAGGATTAGCCTAGTGAGCTGCGGAGCTGGCCATAATGTGATCTTAAATGAACTTATTTATCAACAAATCAATGGAGAGCTCAGCACTCAAATATCGAGAAAACTAGTTACAAAAATTATTTTATGAGCATTTCAAGAGTCTCACAAATGATACTTGTTATTTACTCTGATTTACATTTAAACTGGAATCTTGATGAATCTGTTATGACCCTCTTTATTATTTAAAAATGATATAAAACATGAAAAATATTAGTGAATAATAATGAAAATGTTACATCAATACTGTTGGAAACAATGAAATATTACAGACATTGTGCATACCAAAAAATAGCATGGTCCAATGCACTATTATTCATATTAAGCAATGATGTTGGTGGAATTAATGAAAGAATGAATTGATTAATGGCATTGCAAGTGACAGTGTTATACCTTGTATAAATGTGTTTTTTAATATTAACTAAAGGATTTCCCCTAAAATATAAGTTTTTTTTTTCTTTTCTTTAATACAATTGGCCTTCTGTATCCATGGGTTCTGCATACCTAGATTTGATCAACCATGTATAGAAAACACTTGGAAAAGAAAAAAACAAAAACCATGTCTGTACTGAATATGTACAGACATTTTGAGTTGTCATTACTTCCTAAACAATGGGATACAACAACTATTTTTATACTTTTGGTTTAAAATATACTTTAGTGGCAGGCTTTGTGGTACAATAGATTAAGCAGCTACATGGGATGCCCTTTAGAATGTCTGGGATCAAGTGCCACCTCCAGTTCCTTCCTGCTTCTTAATAATGCACAACCTGAGAGACAGCAGATGATGGCTCAAGTACTTCAGTACCTTCCATCCACATGGAAGACATTAATGAACTTTCTGGCTCATGGTTTTGGCATGGCTCAGGCCTGGATATTAGACACATTAAAGGAGTGAACCTGTGGGCGGAAGATCTCCATTTCATCTGTATCTCATTCTGCCTTTCAAACAATGAATAATATGTAGAAGACATTTGTTAAAAATACAATTAAAAGCATACTTTGGATAAAAAAAAGGGTTATTTATTTATTTGAAAGTCAGAGTTACACAGAGAGAGAAGGAGAGGCAGAGGCAGAGGCAGAGAGAGAGAAGTCTTCCATCCGCTGGCTCACTCCCCAATTAGCACGACGGCCAGAGCTGCACCAGTCCGAAGCCAGAAACCAGGAGCTTCTTCCGGGTCTCCCACATGAGTGCACAGGAGTTCAGGGACCCAAGGACTTGGGCCATCTGCTGCTTCCCCTGGCCATAACAGAGGGCTGATCAGAAGTGGAGCAGCTAGGACTCAAACCAGCACCCATATGGGATGCCGGCACTGTAGACAGTGGCTTTACCTGCTACACCACAGCGCTGGCCCTGAATACAACTATTAACAAGCATTTACATGGTATTGTCTTATAAGTGAAACAGAGATTCTTTATAGTATAGAGAGGTATGTCGAAAGGTTTTTGAAAATTCCTTTTTTATTTTTCTCCAAATATTATTTTATTTATCTGAGAGGCAGAATTACAGAGAGAGAGAGAGAACGAGAGAGAGAGAGACAGAGACAGGGAGACCTTCCATCTGCTGCTTCACTCCCAGTGGACACAAGGGCTGGAGCTGGGCTGAAACCAAAGCCAAGAGCCAGGATCTTCTTTTCCCACACAGGTGCATGGGTCCAAGCACTTTGGCCATCCTCCACTGTTTTCCCAAGCCATCAGCAGGGAGTATGATCAGAAATGGAGCAGCCTGGATTTGAATCTGAACCCATATGGGATGCTGGCACCATAGGTGGAAACTTAACCTTTTACACCACAGCACCTGCCCCAGAAAATTCCTTTTTGTATAAAGTACTGGAGATTTGTCTATCTGCAGGGAGATGCAGAACTCCTGGAACTGATCCCTCAAAGATACTGAGGGACTGCTGTGTAATGTTCCGTCTGGTTCAGGTGGATATCACTCAAAGTCTTGGAGAATGTCCTCTTTAAAAATAATACAGGCATATTACAAATTTTCTGTGAGATGGTTATATAGGATGGTGAAATAAAGTCACATTGTGATATGTTAAGCAACATTTAACCATAGAATTTTGTTTTACAGTTGCTTTTGATTACTCTCCATTGATTACTTGGAAAGAATTCCAGACTTTCATGCCCTGGGATATAGCCATTCTTGTTGGTGGAGGGTTTGCCCTGGCAGATGGCTGTGAGGTAATACTCTATGTATACGACATCTAACAATTAACTAGACCATTTAAAGAACACAAGGATATTTCAAGCTTTTGGCATGTTCACCTTTATCCTGTCATTTCAATGATGCAGATTTTAGCAGTTGTGCTGTGAACATACCACACAGATGAGGCAAGTTCAGAGTTCAAGAATTTTTACAGGCTGTAAGCATACAATATAATAGTTAAGGTATACTGACATAAGAAAAGAATGAATGCAAAGACTAACCATTTTAATCCATGAAATAGTATTAGAAGTGTAGCTCAGTAAGAAAAATCTTGCATAAAAGGAATACGCAAAGTGGCTCCATGGAATTTTTTTATTTGTTTATACCTTTATTTTATTTCCTGATGAATATAAGTAACTCTAATATTCTAAAATTTCTTGTTCTTCTATTATCAAAGGAAAATTAGAAATAATACTAGCATTTAATAAATATTTATTGAATGAAGAATAGAGAAAATTTTACATAACTGTGTCAATAAATTAATTGTGTTTTATATTAGGAAGACATGAAACACTATGAGGAATACAGCTAGCTATTTCTTTGACCTCCCTATCTAACTAATATAACACAGCAGCCTGGGGAGGTCCTTCTCCTTTGTCATTGCACTGGCCATTGTAGGACTGCTAGAAGAAAAGCATCTTCAAAAGCCCCATAAAAATCCTTTATTCTTAGACTAATTAAAAGCATCTCATTTCTGGATTTTGCAGCCTTTTGCAAACTGCTCAAATCTTTTGGCTGTTTCATTTCCTTAACCATCAAATGAAAAAGAACCACAAAAAAGATGTTGTGCCCAGCTCTTGAAGGAAGAAGTTAAATTATTATGCTTCAAGATAAATAGCTATTTCTTCTCTCCTCTTCTTCATAACCTATCAGGAAACTATTATTTGCTTTCAACTTTATTGTGTTGTTCGACATAATATTTAGATACTGGGCTTTCAGCACAAGTCTGTAATAATAGCTAAAAAATCTTGGAAATTGTCTCAGTTCCCAGTGTCCCATTGTTTTAGGTCTTCATTTGACTGTCCAAGTAAGAGTGGTAGAAATATAAGACAAATATACTTTTCTTTTCTACCTTTTCATAAGAAATGACATGGATTTTCAGAATAGATGATTTCCATTCTTATTTGCTAATATGTATTGTGAGGAACTCAGAATCAGCAAGTCTAGCATTGTTATGAATTTGGCTCTTCTCTGTTCCCCAGAATATCTGTCTAGACTGGACCATAGACTTGTGGACTTGGCCAGACTTTAGAGTAGCAAAATCTAAGGCAATAAAAAGATGTGGACACAGTCTGATGCACCAGGTTCTCTCAGTGGGAAAATTAGGTAAACCAGGAGACAGGCCTATCTTGCTCCAAAATCCTCGCACACAACACCAGATCTCCACAGGACACATAAAATTACCGTACCCCTAAGTGACCAGATTGACGCCATAGGGCTGAACCAATATACCCCCGCAACCTGGTTTTACAAAGATTTGTAAAAAAAATTAAATCATAAACATTTTGTTCAAAACTTCTGGCAGTTATCCATAAGCAGATAACCCTTCTGAGAATAGAGGTGGTAGTTATCATGCCATTCACCTCATGGCAATTACCTCTATTTCAAACCCTCTCCATTTTAGTTGAATGTGGTTGATCTCATAGGAGCCAGTAGTCACTCTAAAAATTCTAACAGTGAATAACTGCTGCATTTCTCCTTTCACACATTCCTCAAAAATTGTCTTCTTGGAAGGGTTAGCACTATATTTTTTGATATATCCACTAAAATGGCAAGAACTGAACAGAAATGTCAATCCATAAAGGCAAGGTTTATATGACAAAGTCAATAAAATCAGGAGATACTGATAACACTTAGAAGATAGAAGATATTTAAGGGATAACTGGCTTTGAACAAGTATAGAAAGTAATGAACGGTGAAATCTGTATGCGGGCAAGAGGAAGAGCCAATAAGATGTATTCATAAGTCCGTGGAGAAATTTGGAAACTGGAGCAGCAGATTAACTCTACAAGCTGGAATAAACGCAGACCTGAGTTTCGAGGAAGGTTTACGAAGTGTACAATGAACTGTGAGCCTCCCAGATACTTGCCCCAGTAACAGTCAAGCAGCTGCTCGCTCTCTCTCCTCCCTTATAAAAAATTAAGATTTACTCTGCAGCAAAATTGAACCAATGAAACAATGGCTCATGGCTCAGTCTTTCAATAATCCTTACCCAGACATAAAAAGCTTTAAATCATCATTTCACTGTTTCCCTCTTAAAATGAGTAGGGAGTGCAAGCTTGCCAGACAGCTGAGAAAACCTTAGATACAACAGCTAGTTAGAAAAATAAACAGAAAAACAAATAGAAAAGCAACACAGATAAAGCAAAGAAAATAAATGAAGCAAAAGAAAGTTTTGTTTTACCATTGAAATCTCTAAAAGATATTAGAAATCTTGGGCATGAAGCTAAAATAGAATGTTGCTTTTAAAAAACAAATATGAAGAGAATATGAAAAAAGTCCCTGAAGATTAGAAATATGATAATTGAAATTTTTAAAACTCAGTAGTAGTGTTAGAAGATGAAGCTTGAAATATTCCAGAAATAGAACAAAAAGATAAAAGAAGGTAAATGTTTAAAAGAGATAAGAAAATTAGGACATCAATCCAAAATATCCAATACTCAACTAAATGGAATTTCAGAAACAGAGGAAAAAGAATGGACAGACATTTAAAAAAAATACAAAATCATTCCTATAACTGAATACTTAGAGATTCTAAACTAAGGTAGGTACTGAGCGCCCATTATCAAAGTACTTCATGTAGAATTTGGAACCCTGGGGATGAAGAAATGCTTCCAATGACCTTCTGAGAGGGAAAGTAATGTATGATATAATCTTTCCGACATCTGATCTGACATAGATAAAACCCACTCCTAAAGTATATGTATTCTAGAATGAGTTTGTCTTCAATGTGGCTTAAAAGGTAGACAGTATTTTTTCACCCAAGGTCATATCCAAAAAAAATGACTAAATGTATATAAATTTATGCAAAATCTCTATATATAAACGCAAATCAACATATATAATATTATATATAATATATAATATATTATAATTATACATAATATACAATATATGTATTATATATTATAATACATAATATATAATATAGTTATATTATATAATATATAGTATATATTAATTAATGTAATATAATATATAATATATAAGCACAACCTGAAATATTGCTTATAATTAGAGCTTTGTTGATGCCAATCCTAGCTTTTCATGAGCATGAAGTAGCAGCTCATTTATATCTCACCAAAAGAGAATGTTTCCCCTCCATTCGGTGCAAAAAACAGAACAACTTAACTTCTAATCTGACTGCAGCCAATTTTTCTACTCTGTGTACAATGAAATAGGTTTCTAAAGAACTGAATTAAACTTAAGCCCCTAGAAAAGGAACAATGACTTAAAACTGCTGAGTGGAAATTATTTCAGTTCTAGAGTTCTGCGAATGTTGAACTATCATGTCAGTGTGGAAAGAAAATAAAAAAGGGGCAGGCATTTGCACAGTGATTAAGACCGCTCTTTAGAAGTCTACATCCCTTGTCAGAGTGCCTGGATTTGAGTCCCAGATCTAATTCTAATTCCAGCTGCCTGCTAATCTGTACCCTGTGAGGTAGCAGGTGATGTCACAAGTACCCAAAAACATCAAGTACATCTTGTCACCCACGTGGGAAACCCAGGTTGAATTCCCAGCTCCTGGCTTAGGCCTGCCCCGGTTCCAGCTGTTGCTGACATTTGGGGAGTAAACCAACAGAGTGTTCACTCAGGGTCTGTTGCCGCCTGGGATGCCAGCATCCCACCCGTATGGTGCTGATTAGAGTCTTGGCGGCCCCACTTCCAATCCAGCCCCCTGGTGGTTGCCTGGGAAAGCAGCAGAAGAGGGCCCAATTGTTTGGGCTCCCCAACCTCATGGGAGACTTGGAGGAAACTCATGGCTCCTGGCTTTGGCTTGGCTCTGCCCTGACTGTTGCGGCCATCTGGGGAGTGAACCAGTGGACAGAGGACATTTCTCTCTCTCTCTCTCTCTGAAATAAATAAATGAATCTTAAAAAATGAAGACTGCTGCCCTCTCTCACTCTCGCCCTCTCGTCTCTCTCTCCTCTCCTTTCCGCCCTTCTTCTCTTCTTTCTTCTATTTCTGCTTGCAAAAAAACAAACAAAAAAAAAAAACAAATATTTTTAAAAGAAACAAGATTTTCAAAAATGAAGAGATTTAAACAATTTACTTTTTATGCATCAGTCCTCAAAAGGCTGTGGATGGATGTACTCTCCCAACAAAAAGAGTAAATGAAGAATTCTTGTCAAGGAAGGTGACAGCAAAAAGAGGTCTCAACTGAGTAGACATAAAGAGCAGCCAGTCTGGATGGAGGAGAAGGGACTATTTCAGAATAGACATCATTGAGAGGGAACCTAGAAACAAATTACCTGATACATTTGCCTGTTCGTGGGGGCGTTTTCCACTTTTACTGGCGAATGTGATTAATTAGTAATAGATGCTTAGAAAACTAAGCAAACAAAAGAATGAGGCAAATATTTCATGCAAAAGCATACAAATAAAAAACAAACAAGCTAAACATGATAATAGTATGCTAAGTGACTCAATGATGAACAACATTCAGATAATCATAGTGATAAACATTAAATATTGTTTTTTAAAGACATTTATTTATTTATTTGAAAGGCAGAGATACAGAGACAAGCAGAGAGTGAGACAGACAGACAGAGATCTTCCAACTGCTGGTTCACTCCCCAAATGGCTGCAACAGCTAGAGCCAGATCAGGCCAAAGCCAGGAGCCAGGAGCCAGGAGCTTCTTTTGGGTCTCCCACGAGGATACAGAGACCAAAGTTCTTGAGCCATCTTTTGCTGCTTTCCCAGGAGCATCAGCAGGGAGCTAGAATGGAAGTGGAGCAGCTGGGACTTGAACTGGCACCAATGTGGGATGCTGACACTGCAGGAGGAGGCTTAACTTTCTATGCCACAGTGCTGGACCCTTAAATATTGTTTTAATCTGAAATGTTGGTATGTGAGTGTCAGGGAATGAAGAGACAGAAAACATAATGGTCATCAAAACATTTGCTGAAAATGTATATTATGTAAAATTATGCATGGATGTCAACCTTTTTTTCATTAAAGTAAATTTATAATCGTGTTTCTACTAACTTTTAAAATTATGGTGGGTATTGAAAAAAACCCGAATCCTTATGTAACATGTTAGGAAGTCAGTGAACTGAATAATGTCTGAATTTGAAAATTAGGGGAAAATGTATGATTAGAATATTATTTTAAAGATAACTATACAATTACCTAATTTTATACTTAGATTTATTCATAACTAGTAAGAGTTAAAGTTTTTGTCTGAAGAACATAACTTAGAGGTTGGGAAAGGTGAACCAGATTGGCTGCTGTTTCTTAAAGCTTCATATATTCTCTATTTAGATAAAATTAAAATTTCATTGAAAAGAAATATGGGAAGACAATTTGAATTTCCTAATTCATGTTGAAAATGCCAAAACAAGACTAAGCAGTGGCACTTCCACATCAAACTGACTGGATCTATAAAACCACAGAAAAATGAGAGATTAAAGTTATAGTTTAGAAACAGTTCTAAGAGCAAATAATGTTGTCTATGTATTAAAGTTATATCTGATTAAAATAAAATATTAATGAATACCAAGATTCTCAAATTTGCTTTTTTTTAGGCCTCTGGACTATCTAAGTGGATAGGAGATAAGTTATCTCCCCTAGGTTCATTACCAGTGTGGCTGATAATTTTGATATCCTCTCTGATCGTCACATCTTTGACAGAGGTAGCTAGCAATCCAGCGACCATTACCATCCTCTTCCCAATATTAGCTCCACTGGTGAGTACTCATTTAATCGATTTTTACGTTCTTTCTATCTTTTATATTCTCTTCATCGGAAGAGTAGATTTTGACTTAGGAATTCTGATTCTCTCTTTTTTTTTTTTTTTTTTTTTGCCTGAGTGGACTTCCTATTAGAAACTTGCAGAATGGTTTTTTATTTGCATTAATATCTGTTTAGGAAATCTTGACTTGAGAACTGTTTTCTACCATGTTCAAGAGGCAGACTCTTAAGTGAACAATTTGTCTAATCCCCATTCAATTTTTTCACTTGCAAATAAATCAAAGAGTCACAATTCCAACAGTAAGAATTGGGGTTCCATATTTCCTGGTAACTTTAATATTTAAATCTCTAACATGTTTCCCTCAGTAAGATTGTTATCAAATTTCTGAGTTGTGCTTTATAGAAGTGATTTGCAAATGAAGGGAAAGCTAAACGTGCACTTCTGCCTTAAATAGCTTATTCAGAGTTCTCCACTGCCAGGGACAAATAAAAAAAGTCAGAAGTGTGTTTCCTAGAAGAAACAGGGAAAGGCTGTCTTCTTTCCTCCCCACCTCAACAGCAATTACAAGAAACAGTTAGTTTTAGCTTAAATGTTTTTCTTGTTGGGATGGATGAGCTTGGTGAATGGAAAACACTTTAAATTAAGAAGGATCGTCTTCCAGGAATTGTTCTGCCATCAGCTCAAGGGTCTGCTTGAGCTGCTGCTTCAATTTAGAAAAATAAATGTAGGCTGTTTACATTGGTAAAATATCATTTGGGGTCTTTCTACTTTTTCCCTCAAGATGAAACAGTTAGAAAATTGTGTGAAGGATAGTGGTAACACTTCTGTGATGCTCCTTAAAGAAATGTTAAAGTAAACATCTCAGAGGCAAGAAAGTTAATGCCAGAGTGAGAAAGGCAGTGAGACCCCTTCTAAGCTCCTCTGCAGCTCATCAGCTGTGTGCCTAGATCAGTTCTATTAGCTTCTCTGAGCTTCAGTTCTCTCATCTGTTATTTGGAGCTATAGTAGTCATCTCCTAAGATTATTGTGAAAATTTAAATATTTATATAACATGTATTTGAGTTATTTATAATTTATAACAATGTATTATGTATAAATATATGAACAGGCACCACAGCACCTAGCATTGTTTCTGAAACATTGTTCCTGAAACAAATAATTCCTTAAATAAATCGGACTCCATTGTTTAAATAGGGAACAATGGCCATATTAAGAAAAACAAGAAGACACTCTCTGAAAACTGTTCTTCAAATTAAAACTGCATCTACTGAATAATTTTATGTTTCTTTGGAGTGTTTATGATATAAATTTGTTCACTTTGATGGTTGACGCCCACCCTCAACCACTTACTTTTCTTCCTTTTACTTTTTTATGACAGTCTGAAGCCATTCACGTGAACCCTCTTTACATTCTGCTGCCGGCTACTCTTTGCACTTCATTTGCTTTTCTCCTACCAGTAGCAAACCCACCCAATGCCATTGTGTTTTCATATGGCCATCTCACAGTCGTTGACATGGTGAGTTGCTGAAAGAATACTGTCACATACGTTGCACAATTTTTGTGATGTCTTCAATTGTATCCCTTTGACTTCTGTTTCTAAAGTTGCGCGTGGATAGCCACAGAATTGTTTTTCAGAGTAATAGGCAGAAGTGAACGAGCCATTAGAATATATATATATATAGTCACAAATATAGAGCTTTCAAATGTATCAGTAATTCTCCAGAAGAAGGAGAGGAGCAAAACAGCTAAAACTTAGCATGTCAGGATCAGGATCCAGCCTGTCTAGGCAAAAGGGTGAAATGTGTCCATCAAAACAACACTACGCTTTACTAGCACAAATATTTATGCAGCCAACATTCCTCGAATAGGACATTGGGCTCCATGCTTGCCCACTGAAAAAGCTTTATTTTTCATATGATTCAAATATTGACACCTGATGAGAAATAAGCAATGATGCAAATTTGAGAGATGAAGTGTGCATATTTTGGCCAACTACAGAAGTAGTGATATTAAAAACTGGCTTCAGAATATTCTAGTCTTCCCTCCCAATATTCATTACCAACATCTAAATGAAGCGAAGTAAGAATGTAACCAAGGTAAATTCAATGACCTTGATGTACAAATGCACTTATAAGGTAAGTATTGGCGTTCTCCCTTCCACAGAGATTGCTGTTCCCTACAAAATGAAAATCTTGTAGGTAAAATAAGCCAGACACAGCAAGACAAATACATATTCTTTCTCATATGTAGAGGCTAAATAAAGTGCCTGAACATCAAAAAGTGATTACTAGAGGCTGGGAAGGGTTTAGGGGAGGAAGAATAACAGGTACCAAAGCACAGTTCACTAGAAGCCAGGTGACCACACTTCAGAGTAACACATTTCCTATTTTCTGAAGAACTAGAAGAGAGGAGCTAAAAGCCTCCAAACATAAAGTAACAATAAGTAAATGAAAATGTGAATCATCTCAGCGTTATCAGTACATGCTGTACACATGTGCTGAAATATCACACTGCACCCTTATAAATATGTGCGATTATTGCATGTTTACCAAAACAAAGAAAAATTGTGGCATTTCCTCTCTGTAGAAGTCATACAATGCCTTTTTGATGAACAAAATGTAGTTAGTACAATGAATGCAAAGCCCTATGTAGATGTGTAAAGAGGCTTGAGAAAGTTCATGGAAATGGAGTTTAGAAATAATACATATTTTCCATGAAATTTTTTGAAAGTCCCTCATGTTGAAAAGAATAGAAAGAGGATTCTGGAATAAATGAGCGGACAGAGAAGAGCTGCTATATTCATCATGGCCAGGTAGCCTCCATTTGCTTTGGGACTCTCTCTTTTAATACAGACAATGAGGGAGTAAGCAAACTTGCTCTATAAAGAGCCAGATAATTCATATTTGAGGCTCTGTGGATCATACAGTCTCTGTCACAATTACTCAACTCTGCCATTCTACCATGAAGGAAGTCAAAAGTAAACAAATATGTGTGCTTTTGGGCCCACAAAACTTTGCTTACAAGAACAGATCATGGGCCATAGCTTGGCAATCTCTATTTTAATGGGTAGAAAGCAGTCTGGAACTTGTTTAATGAATATTTGATTAATGCAAGAGCTATAAAAATGACAACCCCCCAAAAATAAGAGAAATAGAAATGACATTATGAAGTTTCAATAACAGTACTGGGGGGATAAACCAATAATATCATTGAGATTATGAAGAATACAGTTATTATATGGAATCTTAAAATGTGTAAAACCACAAAACTCAAATTCTGAATTTTTAAAATTTTATTTAAGTTATACAAATTTCATGTATTTCATATATACAGATTTACCCTCCCTCCCACCAACCCTCCAAACCTTCTTCTTCCTTCCTCTCCCATTCCCAATCTTCATTCTGATTTAACATGAAATGACTGATTTTTAAGGAGAATTTTCCATAATCAGAATGATCTAGGAATATTCTTAAGGGGAATCTCCCTGAGGTTGTCCTCCCAAATGATGTGTACTTGGAGACAGATTTTCATTTGACATGAATGAAGGAAGAACCCCTGATTTTATGAAATGAAAATACTTCCTGCTAATCATTTAGAATGCTTGTCAAATGGGCATGTGCTTTCTACAACAGCATTTGAAATCCTCTTTAGGTTTGTCTTTGGGAGACTGACATTTATGTTCTTTCTGTTCTAGGTTAAAGCTGGACTTGGTGTTAATATTGTGGGTGTTGCAGTGGTAATGCTTGGCATATCCACCTGGATGGTACCCATGTTTGACCTCTACACTTACCCTTCTTGGGCTCCTATAATTGGTAATCAGACGATACCATGATAAGCAAAAGTTCTATTTCATGGTGACTTTTGGGAACCATTAGGCATTCATTGTAAAATGTGGTTCTGCAAAACTGGTGATACCTTCAATCAGATCTGGTGTACCAACTGTGATGCCAGAAACATCCAAAACCTACCGTCTAGACTTGGAGCCCATTTTTCTTATGAAATGCAACCACAGAACATCCACCGGCCTTCAGTGAGCAGCAGATGGTTGAATTTTGATTAGGGACTATCTGCATCTTGCTTCCTCTGAAGTAGGTATAATTTATTACTTGATCTTCACTGAGATTTGGCCATAAACTTTGCCTTACAATTGGTGTCCAGTGAAACATTTCAAGTATCAATATATTATTTCAGAAACTTACCATAAAGAAAAAACTAGAAAATAAAATATCTCTGTTAATTAGGTACTTGGATAAATCATGTCTGTAGAGTTATTCAAGTGAGTTTGCTAAACCACAAAAGTCATGGTTTAATCCAAATGAAATGTACATTTCTATTTGGATTATTAATTGGAGTACTTTCATAAATATATATACATATATATGAAATCTATGTATATTTTTATTATGATAGGCATTTTCCATGAACTTTTGGAAGACCCCACTCAATCGCATGGATGTCAAATATTTTTGTACCAAAATAAACTTATATTTTAATTCCATTTCCACAAATTTTTGAAGTATCTTCCTAGTACAGTATGAAAATTTAAAGTAGTATGTAATTTAAAAATTTTATGTGAATCCACTAGAAAATCAATTGATAAGTATTAATTTCTACTTGATTCTATGGGTAAATTAATATAATTAATTCTTTTATGACTTCAGGGCACTGAGAAACGTTTTTTACCGATGCTGATAAAGTTTGCTGTGATTTGCACTATTTGCACAGTATATTTAGAAAGGAAAACCAAACACTATAAAACTGTTAGCACATTTTTATGTATGTGCAAACAACTTGTGTTTATTTTGTTTTAGAAATGCATAACATCCTATTTATAAAAAGAAAATGTACAAAATTAAACGAACTAACACTACATTCAGAAATAGAAAAAGTCATGTAATTCCATTTTATCAACATTGAATAAAACATCAGAGGGAAATAAAGAATAATAGTTAAAATGTAACATATTTACAAAAGATAAAATTCACTAATAAGCAAACAAAAAGCAAAACAACAACAACAGCAACAGAAAACATCCCAAATATTCAAATAAAAGGAGAACAACCTTGTAGCACTCAGGATGTGAAAAAGAGTAAGGTCTACAGGTGTTGCAAAATTATGTGAAACGAAAAGATATAGACTGCAAGTAAAATACAGCTAATAGTGAAAGACAGAGAAGTTAGATCACAGCAATTCTCATAATAAAAATAAAATGGAAGATAAGGTCAAAAAATTTTGATATTTTTCATCTTCATAAATATCTTCCTATACATTGCAGAACTACTTCCTTTGTTTTTTGCAGATAAGATTATTTATGCAATTATTCTTCAAAAGTTAGCAGTAAGTTATTGTTTATTTAAAAGCAAGTAGAAGAAGGGATTTTGAATGTTCTCACCACAAAGAAATGGTAAATGTCTGAGGTGCTGATTATTCCAGTTATCCTGATCTGATCATTACTCGTTGTAAGCAGATGTCAAAAGATCACACTGTTCCTAATAAATGTGTGCAACTATGGTGTGCCAATTAAATATTTTAAAAGCAAAATATAAAGAGGTTTTTAAAATTATATTTCTTTCAAAATTATGTATTCTGAATAATTATTCACGTTCATTATTTGTTGATTAATTAGTTAATACAATATTATTTTTCAAAGAAAAATGTGTCCACTTAAACCTAAACTATCATATTTCTGCTTCATGTAAATCTTCTGTGTTTATGATATTCACTTATTCTTTTCCCTATCATAGGTTACACGCTTATTATGATCCATAATATTGATTACATTTCTGCTTTCTTCTCATCATTCAGTTTATCACTGCTGAATTATATGATGGATACATTTTAATTATGAAAAATAAAATGACTTTACAAATTATAGCGAGTAAGTTTTGGTTTCAGGAAAATAATATGAGTAATTCACCTTGAATAATTTTGATGAGTTTTCTAACAGCTGCCAGCTGAGTACAAGAAAAATATTAGTCAAAATTTGTGTAATCGAGCCGTCGAGATTTCTTGCTACATCTTTCTGTTTGGCTGACTTATAGAAAATGACAACACCCATTTCATATTTGCTCCATTTGCATCAAAGTCCTCAGGTTCCTTTGGTGTGAAGGTTGTATACTGTCTTGGAAAGTTTCTAAAAGGCAACCCTAAATAGAAAGACAGATCTTTGTCCTCCCACTCCTGTGGTAGATAGTGTTTTTGTTATTATCTTGATCATTACTTAAAGGTTAACTAGAAATCTTTGTCACTTTAAATTCTAGTATCTTACTTAGAATTGGATCTGTCTAGATAATAGTAGCAATTTCACTAAGTGCCTATTTACTGTCTGCTCATGTAAGCACTTGGCAGGCCCCGCAGGCATAGGTGAATCCTTCACTCAACCCGGCTGCTAATGCTCTCGTAGGCATCTCCAGAATTCAGACCTGCTGTCTGTCAGATGTGTGCAGCTTTCATCTGACTTGGTGTCCAAGGCTTTATCCTCGCCTTTTTCCCCTGGAAGTCAAGGAAGCACAGTAATACTAATTAACATTATTGGCACTCTGGTTGTATATTGTAACACATATTATTACACATTAAAGATTATTCCGCCTCTGCTGTAGCTAAACAGATGAGTAGCTTTATGAGTATACTTTTGTTCCAAAATTTTATTGGTTTAGTTCATTAATATTATCTTTTCATGAATGTTTAGATTTTACCAGGGTAAATGTTTCCTTTTTAAGACTTATTTTTACTTTTATTGTTTTGCTTGAGTATTGTGAAGAATTATTTCTTTTTGTTTGTTTATTTTTTATTTTTTATTTTATTTTCCCCCAAAGAGATATTTTATTTAAGGAATACAAACTTCAAGCATTTCATAAGTACAAATTTAGGAATACAATGATTCTTCCCACCATACCTGCCCTCCCACCCACTCTCCCACCAACCTCCTCCTCTCTCTCCCATTCCCAGTCCCATTCTCCACTAAGATTCATTTTTTTTTTTTTTTTTGACAGGCAGAGTGGACAGTGAGAGAGAGAGACAGAGAGAAAGGTCTTCCTTTGCCGTTGGTTCACCCTCCAATGGTCGCCGCGGCCATCGCGCTGCGGCCGGCGCACCGCGCTGATCCAATGGCAGGAGCCAGGTACTTATCCTGGTCTCCCATGCGGATGCAGGGCCCAAGCACCTGGGCCATCCTCCACTGCACTCCCTGGCCACAGCAGAGAGCTGGCCTGGAAGAGGGGCAACCGGGACAGAATCTGGCACCCCGACCGGGACTAGAACCTGGTGTGCTGGCGCTGCAAGGCGGAGGATTAGCCTAGTGAGCCGCGGCGCCGGCCTAAGATCCATTTTCAATTAACTTTATACACAGAAGACCAACTCTATACTAAGTAAAAAATTTCAACAATTTGCACACACACACACACACACACAAAACTGTTCCTCAACACTCAAGAGTTGTTCAAAGTCACTGCATCTTGAAGTTAATTTCACTTTTTTTTAAGAAATTTGAGTAACTTTAAAGAAGCACCCAAGAATGATACATCTTTCGCAAGCACTTATACATAGTATACATAATTATAATATAACTCTCTGAGGACAGAGGTCCTGCATGGGAAGTTTGTACACAGTGACTCCTGTTAATATGACAACTAACACTCTTACATATGACGTCAGTGATCACCCAAGGCCCTTGACATGAGCTGCCTGGGCTATGGAAGCCTTTTGAATCCACAAACTCCATCAGTATTTAGACAGGGCCATAAGCAAAGTGAACTTCTCTCCTCCCTTCAGGGAAAAGTACCTCCTTCTTTGATGACCAGCTATTTCTCTCTCTCTCCCTCTCCTCTCCTCTCTGTGTAACTGTGACTTTCAAATAAAATAAATAAATCTAAAAAAAAAAAAAAAACAGTTCTGAGTTGCTAATATTCCCAAATACCTGGAAAACAGAAGGAACAGTTTCAACCTTGCACTCAAAAAATCATTATATTGGGGCCGGCATTGTCATGCAGCAGTTTAAGCCACCACTTGCAACATTGATATCCCATACTGCCGTGCCAGTTTGAATGAGAGCTACTCTGCTTCCGATCTGGATCTCTGCCAGCCCACCTGGGAAAGCAGCAGATGATGGCCCAAGTACCTGAGCCCCTAACACCCATATGGGAGGCCAGCATGGAGTTCTGGGGACTGGTCCAGCCCTAGATGTGGCAGTAATTGGTAGAGTGAACTAGCTGATGGAAGGTCTCTGTCTTTCTTGTTGTGTCACTCTGCCTTTCAAATAAATAAATAAATAATGTTTTAAGGAAAATTTTCCAGTAAGGAATTCAGATCCATAGATGTTGCCATTGATTTCTCAACAATGTTGCAGTGGATTCGTTTCTGAGAGGAGCAGCGCGGTGGGGGCAAGAGGCGCGGAGTCACCACACAGACCTCGGGAGTCGGGTGAAAGCAGGCTTGAGGGGAGCAGCCTGCAGACTCGTTTATTACAGTTGGAACAACATCTTATATAGCCAAGACCAGCCAATCTGGTCAAGGGGCGGTCTATGCCCCAACCAATCACAGCCTGTTGCCAGGCAGGCTCCATTGCCAGGTGGGTTTCAAAGCCATTCCTGAGTAACTGACACTCACTTGCCAGTGGCCACCTTGGCATAGCCTTCTCATTCCACCACACATAGACACTGAGATTTTAATGTCTGTGAGACTTCTTTTGGACTTTGAATCTGATAAAATAATAGTTATTGCGTTTAGCCACTAAATTTGCAGTAATTTATTAGGGAAACAATAGAAAAAATGGAATAAGCTATAAGACATTGCAACATGACCCGAGGCATCTGGAAAGATGTCAAGTATAAATTTTTGAAATGAAAAGTATAATAAATAGTAAGTACAATAAATTTAATTAAAAACTTAATAGGTAAAGAAACACATTATGCAAACCAGAAAAGACAATGTGTGAACTTAAAGCATATTTTAAAAATTAATTAGTCTACAACACAGAGAAAGTAACTGAACTCTGACATGAAAGTTAAGAAAAATCAAGTGAGAATGGGAACTGTAACAATTTAGAATTCCAGAGTAGAGAATAAAGATGAGAGAGACACAGTCATTAAAAGTACAATGGCTGAGAATATTTAATATTAATAAAAGAATCAAAGTTTTCAGGAATTTTAAGGAAGCAAAGAAGGATTTTAATAGGTATTTTAAATGTATTTGAAAGGCAGAGAGACAGAGACAGAGCTCTATCATTCACTGGTTCACTCCCCAAATACTCTCAACAGACAGGGTTGAGTGAGGCCATAGCCAGGAGCCAGGATTTCAATCTAGGTCTCCCACATGGGTGACAGGAACCCAATTATTTGAGCCATCACCTGCTACTTCCTGGGGTACACATCAGCCGGAAGCTTGAATTGGGAGTGGTGATGGGTCTGGAACCCAATCACTCTGACACGGGGTGTGAGCATCCCAAGCAGCATCCTAACTACTGTGCCAAATGCCCACCACAAAGTTGGATTTTGCATAAAAGGAAATCTACACTTGCCTGTATGATTGTAAATCATGGACACAAATGTGAGAGAAAAGATCTTTAAAAAGAGAGAGAAGGAACTGCAGTTAAACTGAGGATTTGTCAGACTGTTTAGAAGATACTTGAATATCCTCAGATGTTGAAACAAAGCACTGTACACCTAGAATTGTGTATCCAGAAAACTTGTTTCAAAAATGAAAAAAGAGGGGACCATTGCTGTGAGGTAGAGGGTTAAGCGACCACCTGCAGCACTGGCATACCATACAGGCACCTGTTTGATTCCCAGCTGCTCCACTTCTGATCCAGCTCCCTGCTGCTAGTGCACCTGGAAAGCAGCGGAAGATGGCTCAAGTCCTTAGAATCCTGTAGCTACCTGGGAGACTGGGAAGAAGCTCTGGGCTGCTGGCTTTGGACTGGCCCAGTTCCAGACATCACGGTCATTTGGGAAGTAAACTAGCAGAATGAAGAATTCTATCTCTGCCTCTGCCTCCCTCGCTAACACTGCCTTTCAAATAAATAAGTCAGTCTAAAAAAAGGGGGGGGGGATGTGACTCAACAAGGAATGGTGACCAGGAAAATTTGTAAACATACAGATAAATAAAAATTAGATGGGATGGGAGAGGGAGCGGGAGATGGGAGGGTTACAGGTGGGAGGGAAGTTATGGGGGGGAAAAGCCACTGTAATCCAAAAGCTGTACTTTGGAAATTTATATCTATTAAATAAAAGTTAAAAAAAAAAAGAACTGAGATTTTCAGTAAAATCTGAAGAAGAAAAAAATAAAAATTAGAATTAAAATACTACAAACACATGACACAGTATGTAAGTCCAAAGGAAACTCACTCACTCAAAGTATTGTAAGTTTACGCTAATTATTCAGAAGAAGGGTAAACATAATACTTAATTTTGGAATTTGTTCTGAAAAGAAAATTAAATCAAAAGAAACTTGGACAAACTAGAAAACACAAACTTTAGTAATAATTCCAAATATGTCACTTAAAATATAGACAAATTAAATTTCCCAACTAAAAATCAAATATTATCAGACTGGATTTTTTTAAAGCCAAATGTAAGCTGTTCATATCAGATACATTAAAACATAAAAACATAACATTTGAAAGAAAGAACATGGAAAAAATGCCAAGTAAATGCTTACTAATATGAAGCTGGAATGATTATAGTAAAAAAGCTAGCCAAGAAAGAATTTTTTTTTTTTTTTGACAGGCAGAGGGGACAGTGAGAGAGAGAGAGACAGAGAGAAAGGTCTTCCTTTGCCGTTGGTTCACCCTCCAATGGCTGCCGCAGCCAGC